AGTCACTTGGGAATGAACAAAAATGCAAATTGTGATTCTACATTTAGCCAGTTCCCAGGTGAGGCTGATGCTGGTGGTCCATGGGTTACCCTCTAGGGAGCACGCCTTTATAAAGTGGATTAGAGAAAGAGAGAAAGAGCAGGTTGGAAGTCTGGTGGAGTGATCTGAGAGGCAAATGATGGTCGTGAATCTCAGGTACACTTGTTTTGCTCTTTATAGCCTGGAGATTGATCTCCTTTATAAAGAACTTGACTACTAAATGGGTATTGAGTATTTTCCTTTCATCTGTCAATAACTGTACAAGCTAAATTAAGAAAAGAGGAAAGGAGCTCGACTTCAGTCTTAGTTCTTAGTAACTGGCCTCCCTTTAAGCTCAACGGAGGTCTCAGTTGTTTCATCTGTAAAATGGGAGATTAATTGTTATGGGCTAAATTGAACCCTAAAATTCATAGGTTGAAGTCCTAACCCCATGGGCCTCAGAATATGACCTTATTTGGAAATAGGGTGATTGCAGATGTAGTTAATTAAATTGAGGTCATACTAGAATAGGATGTACCCCCAAACCAATTGACTGGCGTTCTTATAGAAAGGGGAAATTTGTTCATAGGCACAGATACAGGGAGACTGCCATGTGAATTTTAGAGTTATGCTGCCATGAGGCACAAAACTATCAGAAGAAGGGAGAGAGACCTATAAGCTCTCCTTCCTGGGCAGCTGCAGAGGGAGCACGGCTCTACCAACGCCTTGACTTCAGACTTCTCACCTGCAGAACTGTGAGGCGATACATTTCTGTGTGGTCTAAGGCACCCCATGTGTGGAGCTTTGATACAGCAGCCCTAGCAAATTAATACCCTGATTGACACCATGAAGGTCACATTCAGGTCTGCCATTCTATTCTATCCTCTCCAAATATCCTACAGGAAGTCTGAACTAAACGTGGTTAGATGGGAAGATTTCTGTTTTTCATCCATTATTCATTTGTGATTTTTCTTTTTAGAGACTTCTTCCTTTTTTTTTTTTTTTTTGGCTTTCACTTATGTTTCCTTTTTTTGAAAACTCAAAAAACATTTTTTTTTTCATTTAAGCAAGTACTTAGAACACATCAAACAAGGCAACATTTATTCTTTCTTCTCATCTTCTGGGGTGGGGTCTGTTGGGCTCCTCCGCTGTTGTTCTCTAAGCCAGTGCTATTCTCACGGGTCCCTTCCTCAGCCATACTGTCCACCCCCTCCTGCCCGCTCTCCTTGTCATCAGGAGTAGATGTGTCTTCTTCACCATTCTGTTGTCTTTCTGGTGCTTCTTCAAGGTGTGTCTCCTCTGTCTCCACTGGGATGCTCTTGTTGGTCTTTTTTTTTTTTTTAATATATATTTTTATTTATTTATTTGACAGAGAGAGAGAGAGATTACGAGTAGGCAGAGAGGCAGGCAGAGAGAGAGGGGGAAGCAGGCTCCCTGCTGGGCAGAGCGCCCAAAGCGGGGCTCGATCCCAGGAACCGGAAATCATGACCTGAGCGGAAGGCAGAGGCTTAACTCTCTGAGCCACCCAGGCACCCTCTTGTTGGTCTTTCTCCTCCTTGGTCTTACTCACAGCTTGCTCTCCCTCAGGAACCATGCTGACTGCGTTCAGTTTGCTCTGCGGCCTCTTTCTCCCTTTCCTCCTGTCTTTTACCAGCCCGTTCCTCTGCCTGTGCAATTTCAGCGGCAATTTTTTCCATATCCGTTCCACTTCAAACTACAGAACCATTTAAGTTCAATGTTAAATGAATCTGTGCTTTCCAGAAATTTCCTCTTTTTCTGGTGTCGCTCATCCATTTAAAGAAGTTCAGCTTCTAGGGGCGCCTGGGTGGCTCAGTGGGTTAAGCCTCTGCCTTTGGCTCAGGTCATGATCCCAGGGTCCTGGGATCGAGCCCCACATCGGGCTCTCTGCTCAGCAGGGAGCCTGCTTCCTCCTCTCTCTCTGCCTGCCTCTCTGCCTACTTGTGATCTCTGTCTGTCAAATAAATAAATAAAATCTTAAAAAAAAAAAAAGAAGTTCAGCTTCTAGTTTTCACTGATGAACCGTTAAATACTGGACGCATTGTTTAAGGACCTGCCTACTAGCTGTTGTGACAACTGACGGAACGTCTGGCTCTACCCTCTCACTACAGATTTCACTGATGAGGTGGTGGTTTCTCTGGAAATGGGTGGTAGCCGTATGCTTCAGTGAAAAGTCATCATCATAGCCATCTGGATCTTCAGCAGGCTGGATGCTCATGTAAGATTCTCTTTTCCCCATGCGAGAGTCTCTGTTGACTTTCTTCCTCTAAAGCAGCTCCTGTATGGCTTTTTGCATTTATGTAAGCAACGTATGCAGGGAGATTATGATAGCCCTTCATAGATTCATTGTACTCTATCTTTTCTGCTTCCTCTTCACTTAAATATTCTTGTTTTTCTTCATCAGTGAGATCTCGTCACGTACCACCAATAATCTTGCCAATTTCCCACAACTTTAGATCAGGGTTGGAAGATTTTACTTGATCCCAGACCTTTCTGCTATACCTCATGTAGGCCGTCAATGGCTCATCTGGTAGTTTGTGGGGGTTTGGAATCATAATACCAGAAGATGCCATGACCTGACTGTTGATGCCCAGGTTCCCTCCCAACCTCTAGTTGTTGCAGGCGAGATGACCGTATGGATTATATCCCACAAACCCTGGTGTGCTGGGCATTTGTGTTGTAGGAGCTGGGGTGGGAGGTGAGGCATAAAATGGTCTTATTGACATTTTGAAAGATTATGTTCTCAGTTCCTTAAGAATGAGTCTGAGACACCACGGGCAGAAAAAGCCTCACTAATGTTTCATACATGGATATTTTACTAATGGACTCAATAGATTCAACCCATAGAAAAAGCCTTTTTGAGGCTCAGGCTGAAAGCTACAGAGGTAGCACAACTAAAATGGTTCCGAGACAGATTTTGGGACACACATGACATGATAGTGGTGGGTTTGTTCTTACCTTGGCAACAAGAACCCTTTTGAGAATCATTTGTTTTTGAACCATACAGAAATATTTTAGCAAAGCATGTCAGGGGTCCTATGTCATTCCAGCAATAGCAACATCAAGCCCAGAGAAAACAGAGACAAAGCAACCTATCTTTGATATTTTTTTAAACTTTTTTTTTTACCATTGTCACAGAAGAAATAGAACTATGCCTTTTATTTAACAATTTATGTATACAATCTAATGTACTCTTTTATTTCTTAGATTGTGAAGTTTAAAGAATAGAGAGAAAAAATAAAAGACACTTTTTTATAAGACAGAGGGAATTTTTCCTTCCATATTTAAAAGGACAAGGATCCTCCCCCAGCAAACTCTTTAGGAACATTAGATTCTGATACTCCTGGAAAAAAAGAAGGGATTTGGAACAAATAGGCTAAACAAAGAACCCTGGATGGGAATGGAATTAGTCTAGTAGTAATGTCAGCTTCTGGATGGGAGGAGAACTGAGCAGAGCATCCAAACAGATCCTAGTACGTTCCTCATGAACCATGGGCCTTTGGTAGAAGATCTTATTATTATCATTATGATTATTATAAGGTTATATCACAGCATCTTAGTTATCTCCTCTACAAAACAGAGGTAGACTGCGTCCCACACACAGAATATAAAAGGGATGGCAAGCATTCCATAGAATGAGATTTGATTTTTTTATTAAATGTCTCACATCCCTGGAAAGATATGCTTCAATCATAATAATAAAATCATGTTGCATAAACTACTACGCACTGCGAAGGTTTTGCATACTTTTTCTCATTTGGTCTTCACAACAACCCTACTGGATATATGGGTTTTAGCCTTGAGAGATGGTAGGATCTGAGGCCAGAGATATTAATTTTCTCAATGTCAAAAGGCCAGGAAGGCACAGAACCAGAATTCAAGTCCACATCTCTCAGCTCTGTGGGGATCTCAGATGCAGGACTCATGGGCTGCAAAACTCACTTCCTGTGTCGGGACAGACATTACTAATTGATTACAGTACTCATTTTGGAATTTCTCTAGTCTGACAACAGTGATGGTGGAGAGTTAAACCAATTTCCCCTGCTAAGCTTGTGCTCCCCAGCAGTGTTCTGGATGGCCTCATCTTCAGAGATTCTGATTTAGTAGGTCTTGGGTTGGACCCCAACTCTTTATTCTTAAGGATTTTCTTGATGTTGCTGATGACATCCAGGTTTGATATCCACTACTTTCTGCACCTATGTTCTGTGAGACCAGATCTTTTCTGCTTGTCTATTTGTTTGGTCTGCGGGTTTCTGAAATAAAGGCAAAAGCTATGGAAATAATCTCAGGCGGGAAAAGAAGCTATTGACCGCTGCTACTAATGGAATGGCTACTATCTGAAAGATGGGTCTGGTGCCTTCCTTTTCTTTTGTGAACCACCAAAATGCTGGAAGAGAGACCTAGTCATACTCTTCTGTGCCAAGTATCTGGAGAATTTTAGAGATACCTGAGTGTCCTCCCTCAAATATGACTGTGATGAGCCTGAAGGGAAGAAAGACCTTTTAGCTATGCTCTGAGAAGCCTTCACTTGGAGGAGTATAGAATCTTAAGTGAAAATCTTATAATTTATGATTCATTATTAATCCTATTCCTTTAATCCATAACAAATTGACTAACACTATTTCCCCCTCCCCCCTCCAAATTCCTACTGTAGGAGATTATAAACGTGATGAGAAGCAGCAGCAATACCCCATTAATAGTTATAAATGTCTCAATGCTCATATTCCTCATCGATTTGAGAAATCTGCCTAAGTAATTAAAGAGTAAGGGGAATTAAAAAGATGAAAAATATCAGGAAAACAGGGCTCATGGAAGTTATCAACACTATTTTATTTCTACTGTTACTTCTTAATGACTTAATTTCCCATGGACAACATTTTAAAAATGTAAATTTCTAGATTAAGAAAAAAAGGCCCAGACTTCATTATCTTCCCAGCGAAGCAGATATTTGTCAAACAGTAAACTTATATCTTTGGCTTCTCCAAAAGGCACCAAAAGTGTTTACTTCCAATGATTTTCACCACCTTTTTTTACCCTTAAAAATAAACAGTTGAGGTCTCATGCATTGCTTCTGATCCACGGAGAGTCTCCCAAATGGAAGGCATGCTTCTTCTCAAAGCCCTTTCAAATCCTTGGGTTGGAAAATAAGTACATCTTTCTTCCTCTTGATTTCCCACTAGTCAGTTTAGCATCCTTGTCAGTATTAACAAAAACAATAGCAGGACCAAATGCTTTACCTATCTTATCTCACTTGACATTCTTAATAAAGGCATAATAAGATATTCTTAACTACTATTATCATTCTTGCTTTACAGTTGAGGGAACAGGCATAATGTAGTTATGTCACTTACTCAATAGCATAGAATCAGTAATGAGCAGAATTGGGAATCCCACTCAGGAGATCTGCAAAACAGGTCTACTGAGTCATTTGGAGACTCTACCTTCCCAATGCCAGATGGGATTCTCATGAGGTCAGAGAGGAAACCAGGGCTTTATTGGGTAATATGAAGATCTTATATTCAAGCTCTCACTGCTCAGTTTCCCTGCTTACAAAACTGGGATAATTCCAGTTCTCCTTTCTGGGATTTAGGGTGAATCCAATAAGATAATGCATCTGAAGGAGTGTTGTGCATAGGAAAGAGGGATTTTTGTTGTTATTGTTGCTGTGTGTTTCTGCAATAATCTGGTGAATCTGAAGTTGAGATCCTGTACTAGATAAATACTATGTGCTTATACAGGTCTGAGGCCAAGGACAACTTAGAAGTTCTATAAACCCGGCCCCAGGCTGATCACTCTCTTTCAGAGACTTTCCCAGACTGAAAGCTCTTCAGAGATCATTCTAATTCAAACGCTTTACAGATTGGTCCGCAACGACCCAGAGAGGTGTATCATTTGACCAAACTCACACAGCAAGTATGACTAGACCTGTTTCTAGTGCCCAGGTCTAAGGTAGACCAGCGTTTTTCCCTGGACTCCAGCTTCGCTTAGTGTGTGGTCTACAGGAAAGAAAGACGTGCTCTGAGCGGGTAGCCCTATCCAGCGGGACCTGCAGCCTCTTTGAAGCTGCCTGGAAATTTCAGGAACCACAATTTCTGACGGTGGGTACCCTCTCTGCCCAGCAGTTGCGCATCAGTCCTGAGTCCTTTCCTGAGATAGAACAGGGGTTTTGGCATTACTGCTGAGGCAAGCGTTTCCCCACTCAGGCAGCTCAGGGGTAATCTGATGGTGCTCTCCTGGGGATCAAGAGCTGCAGTGGCCTGTGGGGAACAGGACAGGTGATAGGAGCTCAGGAGTCAGGCCAATCACAGCACCCGTTCCTTCAACTGCTCCCTCCCAGGTTGCTAAGGATGCAGAGGCTGTTGCTAGGCGGGGACCAAGTTTCCATCCAGCTGTGCGTGGCTGGGGGCCTCCCTGCCGCTGGCGCCTGAGTGCTCCAGCAGATAGGCAAAGAGTATCAGTGTTCTCAAATCTGTGCTTTGGAGCTTCTCCAAAACCTGTGAGCATCTTTCTTGAAGCTCATCTCACTCACCTGTGTAGTCACACTTTTCCTGCTCTTTCCCTGAAGCTTGATTTTCCCTTGGTGAGATTGGCAAGTAATTGGAATCTTGCACTTGTCCTTTCAAATCCACCGTACGGCTTTGGATAAATCCATTCTTTTCTCTGAAGTTCAATTTCCTTATCTGTAAAATGAGGAAAAGTAGATCCCACAGTGGGGCCAGACAGCTATTCTTACCATATACATTAACAATTACCAGTAACATAATTTGATTTATATTTATTTATTTTTAAAAGAGATTTATTTATTTATTTATTTATTTTTTGAGAGCGAGAAAGAGAGGCAGAGGCTGAGGAAGCAGCAGGCTCCCTGTGAGCAGAGAGCCCAATGCGGAACTCCGTCCCAGCACCCTAGGATCATGATCTGAGCCGAAGGCAGACACTTAACCAATTGATCCACTTAGGCGCCCCTGTATTTTAAAGATTAAAAAAATAGAGCTCGGGGTATTGACTAATTACCCAAGACCCCACCGAGCCAAAGGACAGAACCTAGGTTTGAATATATATATTCCTATATCTCCTGAATTTCCAGAAAATTTTTGTTATGTTTAAAGACTTCAACAAACATGGGTAAAGACACTTTAAATTGACTCCAAAATGTTGCTACTATTTCCAGCAGCAGCAGCAGCAGTTCCAGTGTCCATACTGCCTGCCTCTTGCCCTCTGGCTCCACTGTGTGTGGTTCTGTATCATCTGTTGGCACACGCAGCGTGGTGATACACTCAGCTCCCCTCTAGGGGTTCTGTGCTATACAAAGTACCTCAGAGTAGGGGAAGCGGGGCAGCTTCCTTTTCCTCTTTCAGCCCAGGTTCACATTGTCCTCAGATTAGTCCTCCAAGGTACAATTCTGAGAAGCCCCCTCAAGTCCAATTTCTCAAAGGACTTCCACCAGTCACAGAGGTTGTCCATGGTTTCAGTCTTCTTTGCCTTATCCTCAGGCTAGATCTCTAGTTTGATCTCCTGCTACTTCTCCCAGGCTTGCTATACTCCGTCCCACCCAGTCTACCAACTGGTTTGAATCTGCTTCTTATTTTTCTGTTTCTGTGCCTTTTTCATTCATTTCATTCATTCTGTGCCTCATTTTCATCCTCTCTATACAGGACCCTTCTGTTTACTCACTGTGACAGCCTGCCATCCATTCTGTAAGTTACATCTCAAATGGTCAAGAGTATGCTTCTGGGAGTCAGATACCTTGGGTTTAAATCCTAGCTGTGCTAGTTCAAAGTGATCTTTGGCAAATCACTTACAGTCATTGTGCCTTAGGTTCCTCTTCTATGAAATGAGGATGCCTTTTTGTAAAGATTGAGTTATATAAGTAAGGCACTTAGAACAATGGCTGACACATAGTGGGCAATACAAATGTTTGCTATCATCATTATTACAATTATCTGTCCAGAAGCCAAGTCAGACCCCAGAAGCTGAAAATGGTTTCTCCATTCTCTGTATAATCTGTGGTTTCTCTCTTTTATAAAATGTGTCTTTCTTTGCCTGATGGTATGACTATTTGTTTGTATTGGTTGCCATAACTTCCTGGACTATGCTTCTTGTACTTTGAATAATGGTCCCCAGACATCCATGTCCTAATCCTTAAAACCTGTTAATGTTATCTTCTGTGGCAAAAGGGACTTTGCAGATGTGACTAAGAATCTTGAGATGAGATTTTCCTGGATTATCCAGGTGGGTCTTAAATATGATTGCAGGTGTCCTTAGAAGAGGGAGACAGAGGGATATTTGACTACAGAAGAGGAAGTAGGACACGTGACTGTGGAAGCAAGAGGTTAGAATGATTTAAAGAAGGGGTTTGGGCCAAGGAATGCAGGTGGCCTTCAGAAGCTAGACAAGGAAAAAAAAATTCTCCTCTGGAGGCTCCAGAAGGAACCAGACCCTGCTAATTCCTTGACTTCAGCCCAGTAAGACTGATTTTGGGCATCCAGCCTCCAAAACTCTGAGAGAATAAAGTTGTATTATCATGAACCGCCAAGTTTGTGATAACTGATTACAGCACCCATAGGAAATAACTGCAATGTTATTGAAGGACCCACTTCTTCAAAGAACTGACCACAGTCTATGACTTAAGTAGGCCAAACAGAGTTCTTATTGATGACCAATGTACAGTTGTTGGATGAAAAAGAGGCCTATCTGTTGGGGTCACTAAAGGTGAGGATAAGGTATTGTGGCTGTGGGAAGATATTTATATTAATACATCGATTTCTTTTCAGCAGATGAGGAGGAAGCCAGATCAGAGCTGAAGAATGGAGCCAGTGTGGGAAACGGATGAGAGCAAAGAGCCTGGATCCAGCTATGCCTGAAGCTAGAAAGATTCTAGAATTCCCAAACACAGAAGTGAAAAATTTCCCTCTAAGATATTTTGAGGTGAGATTTGTTAATCTTTACCCGAAGAGCCCTCGTGAATACAGAGATTTTCAGATTTCAGGTTACTAAGGTTCACATGTGGGGTGCAGTTAATTGATTCAATGCCATTCTAAGTTTCATTGTTAATTATGTGATGAACCTTGAAGGAGTAAATGGATTTTGATCAAATCAGATATTCTACTAAAGACTCTCCTTTAATCTTATCTTGACTTACAGATTTTATAAATGCCAACTCGAAAAACAGTGACCTAGAGGGAGACTTTTCATTGTAGCTCTTCTGTCGGTTTGAAGGTATTCATTTGAAATGTGATATAATTTTTCAGACCAGAGGGAACCTCTGCTTTGCCGCTTCCTAGCCAAATGACCTTGAATAAGCAATTTCACTCTTATCTTTGAGGTGGAGACAAACAATAATTACCCTGAAGATTGCTATCAGGATTGGAGATAATATTCTTAGAGCCCCTGACGTGTAATAAGCTTTCATAAATTGCATTCTTGTTCATAACAATAGCAGCTAACATTTCGTGAATATTTATTATGTGCTAGACATTGTGCTAAAAGCTTTTCATTTGATATCTTCTTTGATCTTCACAACAATCTTGAAATAAGGATTTAATATCCCCATTTTAGAGATGATGAATTTGAGGTTTAGAGAAGATAACTTGCTCAGAGGGAATGTAGCTAGGAAGACTCAGAGCTGCAAAAAAATTCAGGTGTGTCTGATTCTAGAAGTATCTTTATCGTCACTACTCTATACCTCCTCTGTGGAAGTTTACCATTGTTGTTGTTGTTACTACTATTATTATTAATGTTAATGTTTTCATTGGCACTGTTTTAAGGTTCTAGTTCCCTTTGAGAATGCAGATTTTCTGACAGAATTCATAAGGAGGAGTGGCTTCTTCTTATCTGGGATTTTCTACTTCACACTCTAGTTTATGAAATGACACAACCAGGAAACATCTCTCTAGTGGTTTATATTAAACAAGGCAAAACAAAAAGCTATGTAATAAATGTCTCTAGAAGATTAAATACTGTGGTTAAAACTTTCCTTGAATTCAACAGCTTTAGATTACAAGTCACCAGAGAAAGAGTCCAGAGAAATGTCTTCCAAAAGAGTCAGCTCCCTCTTTCCACAAAGAAAGATGAATAGCTGTAATAAGGAAACCAAAGAATGCTC